CAAAACAAGCCTTGTCCTTAAGGTTTTTTCAGTCTGCATTTCCATCAGATGTCAAAGTCACATCTGTCCAAAAAGAGCAAAAGATGCATTATCATACTCATCTCAGAAGACACTCCTCTGTGGCAGATCTTTCCAGGTGAGCTCCTCACCCCTCAAACTCATCCTCATTGTTTCACTGTCAATCAATCAAGGATGGAGCGGGGTGGGCTTGGGAGCATCTCTGGTCAACTGGCTCCTTGGCTGACTTCTTACCTCCTCCATAACTTTCCAAGGAATTCACTAACATTCTATGAAATTTGGCATATTAAAGGGTATCAAGATATACTCTGGTTCATTTTGTAGTTTATTCTGATACCCTGAAATAAAAGGATGGCCACAAAAGATTTTTCATACAAAAATCAACGAACAAAAACCCCCACACATATATCCCGGGAGCAAGGCAGCATGGGGAGGAGGTAGAGAGACAAGGGATGGCAGGTCTTCAAGTGGGGTGCCCAACAGCTAGACTAGGAGTCAGGCCACTTGGAACCCCTGGCTCAGCCCAGGCTGGGCTCCTTCCAGCACTGTCTGTTGGGAGCATGGTCAGTGGCCCTGACTAATCCACCAGGGTCTCTGCTACGGGTGAAGGTGTCCCCCTACTTGGCCCATGGCAAGGTGATGGCAGGACCAAGCTCAAAGTGAACATTACCTACAGCAAGAAGCACTACCTTCACATCTTCCCCCGGCAGGCTGCGGTGAACTGATTTTCCAAGACCTGGCCGGCCTTGCTGAAGAGCCCATAGGAGTTCTGTTGCCTTTCTAGAAACTAATATTTAAGGGAAAATCCTTGTAGCCTATGGAGCAGTCATTGTCAGGCCCTGGAATGCAGAATAACAACTAGAACAGAGATGATCAAGGGGAAGAGTTTGACTTAAAGAAGTTGAAGGATTTGGAGAAGTCTGTGGAGAAGCTAACCAACTGAGGGGTGAATAAAGAGCTCATAGCTGAGCAGGATTTTCTGGCCAAGGATTTGTAACTTGAAACTCTCTGCAAACTTGATAGGAGGGAAAACAACTGAACAACTGGAGGGGAATTTGCAAATCTATTATGCCAGAAAATTTCAAAAACAGAAGACCAAAAAGGAAGAGATGGGTGAAAACGATTCAAGTGCTCCTAGCTGACCCGGCCCCCCGCCACAGAGCACAGCATTTGCCAGGACACAGAAGGCTGCAGTTCGGGACCTTGGCCCCGGCAGAGTGGGTGAATGTGGAGAGAGGCCCTCTCCTCCCTCCATAGGTTAGCAGTCAGCCAACTGCCACTTCGACATCCCTATACTGGTTTTCTACAAAAAAGCATTGTCTTCACAAACTTGCATACAGCTCCTGCCAGCTTTTCATGGTCTCTGTGTGTTTACTCTGCTCCGTATCCTCACCTTGTTTAGAGGGGCCTTCTCTGCCCACGTTACGCTGGCTCTTTTGACCTTTGGAACGTTTCCTAGCACAAGCGAGGCCTGAGATGTCCTGGGACCACCCCAAGCTTACAGGCTATCCTGGTCATCTGATACAACAGGGCCATTTGTTCCTCTGAAATCCTGTAGCTCCCTAAATGTGAAAGTAAAGTCTAGCCAAAGAAGGGGAAGAATAGCTGAAAACAGGTATCTGGCTCTAATGTCTTTCAAGCATCCTTTGTTGGGACCTATTTCCTATTCAGTTAGTGAAATTACCTTATGCTCTACCAACCCCATCCAGTTGGGACCTGGGAACTCAGGGGACACTCCCAGCTGGGACCTGTGCCCAATGATTAAACTTCTTTGCCCCCAAACAGATCTCCATAGGGCTGAGCCCAGAGCTGCAGGAGTCTCTGCTTAAAACCAGGCCAGAAGCATGGCTTGGGTAGGGCGGAGAGGAGAGCAAACATGAGGACATCAAGGTGGTGTAGAAGTCAACCACCTACTTCTCAGGAGAGGGACAGGTTTCTTTCAATGTCATTGCTGTTACCCATTTCTTTCTGTGACTTGCATTTTCTTTAAGGGCATTTTCACTTGTTTTGTGGCCTATTTTTTTCCATGATACTACAATTGCCTGGGGCGGGCGGGCTATAAGGAGTCAATGGAAGAAAAAAGGGGACATATGTAATACTTTCAACAATAAAGATTTTTTAAATAAATAAATAAACAAACAAAAAGAAATCAATTTTCAATTTTGAACGTGAGTTAACAATCAGAGAAGTGTGTATATATATGTGTATATTACATACATATTTCTATTTTTAAGTACGGAAAGAGTGCTTTGTGGTTCAGTTGTATCTTATTTTAATAAAGTCATAAGTGGCACTGAATAGGTTGAGTCTTATGGTCTTGCCTTAAATCTGAGAGCTGCTGCCTCCACTCTTTAAGCCCAGTGCCTTGAGGGACTAACCCTGATGCACCTACTCTGAGGCAGGTCTTGGGGGTTGGGGGGAACAGAGGGGATCCCATTGAAGTCCCAGAATTTTAGGACTGGAAGGGTGGGGGCTACAGAAGATAGTAGAGGGGTAAACAAGTGAATGGGATTCCAGGCCCAATCTCTGCTCTTACTCTCCTTCTTCAATTACAGTAGCTCAGTTTTTCTGTATTTATATATACCGTAAGCTATGTGGTCTCAGGTAAGTTTCAAATGAGTATAGCACCTACCTCCTATAGTTGATGAAGTAAAGTGAGTGACTTTAGGAAAATACACCTAGAACAGTGTGGGACACACAGTGGATGTTCAAAATAAGTTAGCTATTATTCTGTGTGGATTCCACATTAGAGTTTGTTAGAGAAAAAAGTTTGGAAGTCTGCTTTGGACCATTTCCCTCATTAAAAAAAACTGAAAAATAACTTTGTTAAAGTATGTAAATGCAAAAAATATGTTTAAAAAATATGTAAATCCATTTGTATAAGAAAAATTCAAGCAAAATACCAGAGTAGAACGAAAAAAAATTCTTTGCTTCTCCACCTACTCTCACTCCAGCTTCCTTCCCCAGAGACATCCGCTGTTATCATTTCCAGACCTTTTCCTTACACCCTTACATACATAAACATGTTTTTTGCTTTTTACATAAATGGCATTATACCATATGCATTGGCCTGCAAACTTACATTTTTCACTTAGCCATAACTGAGAAGTGTCTTTTTTTCCTGTGATAGCACATCTAGATCTACCTCCCATTCTACCACTTTTTAACTGCTGTACGCTACTCCACAGGACGGGTAGGGCAGAGAGGAGAGCCATTCTTTATTTAACCATTCTTTAAGGATAAACATTACAAAAATCTCCATTTTATTTTTGTTGGTTTGTTGTTGTTTTTTTGCTTTTAAGGATGCAGTTCACCTTTTTCTTGGTATGGATTTTTCTTTATAGACTTCACAGCTAGATGTGAAATTGTTGCCTCATAGTGCATGCACATTTTTCTTTTTTTTTTTTTAGAGGAAGGAGAGGGTGAGAGAGAGAGAAACATCAATGATGAAAGAGAATCATTGATCGGCTGCCTCCTGCACACCCCACCCTGGGGATTAAGCCCACAACCCAGGCATATGCCCTGACTGGGACTCGAACCATGATCTCCTGGTTCATAGGTCAACACTCAACCACTGAGCCACTCTAGCTGGGCATGCACATTTAAGTTTTTTGATACATAATGAAAATTTGCTCTCTAAAAAGGCGGTATCAATTTGTACACTAGTACTAAAATCCTTTCTTGTTATTCTTATAATATTTTTTGCCAACCTGAAGTATGGAAATTAGTATCTTGTATTTTTTTCACATATTAGCCAACTGTTATTTCTTCAATGAATTTCTGCTTGACTCTGTACTCCTTTTTCTTGGGTTATTTTTTTCATATCAACTTGTAAGAATTCTTTATGTATGCTGGATATTAATTATTTGTCTTATATAGCTTAAACTGTTTTTTTCCTAGTTTGTGGTATGTCCTTAATTATGTTTGTGGTCTCTTTTTCCACACAGAATTTCACTCTTTTTATGTTGTCAAATGTTTCAGTCCTTTTCTTTATGGCTTCTGGGTTTTATGTCTTGTTTAGTCCCCCTAGTACACCGTTATTAAAGGAGAGTCTATTCTTTTCAGTTAACCGAGAAGGCAGTACACTGAGTTACAGCAAAGTCAAAACTGGACCACAAGTCTCTCTTGGTTGCTGATCCAAGGATTTTCCTACCCAATCACATTGCTTCTCTGTTGTTACCAGCAGTTTCGTGTGTGTGTTTTTTTAAAATCCAGTTTTAAGGGAAACTCAAGAGCAATAACTCTCTCAACTTTGATTTCTTCCTCCCTCTCTCCTCATTCCTGTCTGCCTGCACAAGGTCTGTGTGCTCTTTGCATGACTAGGAAGCAGAGATGAGTCAGCCATGATTCCTGCACTCAGGGAGCTCAAGTCTCTGTGTGTGTAATGCTGTAAACAGAAACTACCATAAAACATAATAATTTTGTTTCCCCATGGATGGGAAATCTGAAGAAAGTATATTATGTGTTAGCAGGGAACCTGGGTTTCCAAAAAAGAGGTTTTCAGAGAGACACTTTGGGCCTGGTCTTTGCTTACATGGAGAGTAAGTGATTGAACCACCACAGTCCAGCTTTCCAGGGGGGAAAGCCCTCTGGCCTGTGTCCTTTGTGTTTCATCTTTTGGAATCTCTCTGACATGCAAGTCTGTACACGTGGCTTTGAAGTTTATAGAGACACTTGACCTGGTTTGCTCACCAGAGACATTAAGAAGCCAAACCTTGTAGTAAAAACATATCCTAATTATAATAAAATTCAATAGTTAATAAAGTAATAAGGTATTTGTGACTAATTAAGTGAGGTCCCTGTGACTCACAAAATTGTGTCTGTAAAATGGGGCCCATGCTTAGATAAAATGATAGGCCATTCTAAAAACATGGACCACTGTATAAGGGACAAACGAATCACCATACCATGAAAGACTGGAATAAAGCCCAGCCACCCAACCCATGGGCTTCATGCTCCAACCTTCCTCAGGGAGTTCTTACCAGGGCACCATCTGTCAGAGTGCAGCCAGAGAAGCGTTTTGCAAGAAATCCCTCAAAGTTAGTTGTTCTCTGAATAGCAAAAAGAAGCAATTTCACTTCAATTTCCTTAGCTCTGGTCCGCATAATCTTGGCAAGTTCTGTCCTTCAAAATAAAGAGATAAGAATATTGTCAAACAAATGGATCATTCGAGATAAGACCAAGTAAATGCTTTTTTTATATTTTTTTAATTTTTAAAAAATTTATTGATTTGAGAGAGAGAGAGTGAGAGAGACAGACAGACAGAGACAGACAGACATTGATTTGTTTTTCAACTTATTTATACATTCACTGGTTGCTTCCTGTATGTGCCCTGACTTGGAGTACAGAGACAATCCCCTAACCAACTGAGCTATCCATCCAGGGCACAAAGTAAATGGTTTTAGCTTATACATATATATTTATTAAAGTAGGTGGTCATTTCAAATCCTGAGATCTGTTACCAACTCAGTTTGATGCCTGGGAAATAGAAATACATATCTATCTTCTATCTACATAAAAGGCTAATATGCAAAGTGTCCCCTTGGGAGTTCAACTGGGAGACCAGGAGTCCATCACTCGCTATGACGTGGGCTAACCACCAGGGCGTGGTGTGGATCGAAGGAAGGCCCCAGCCAGCAGCAGGCAGCCGGCGAAGGGAGGCCCTGGCCGGCAGCCTGAAGGCCCCGATCAGCCCTGATCACTGGCCAGGCCTAGGAACCATACCCATGCATGATTTTCGTGCACCGGGCCTCTAGTTCTAAATAAGAATTTTAAGGTGAAATTATCCACCAGTCAAAAAAAAAAAAATAATCAAGGATTATGGACACCAATTTGTTTACATTGTTACTACTATTTTTAAATATTTAAACCTTTCAATACTTTGTTAATTATATATATGAAACAGTATTTTATAAAAAATGCATATTTTCTATGTAATTTCACAAGTCATTAATTACTGAATTACAAAGCCCTCCATCTTCCAAAGAAATAACCTTCTCCTCGAACAGAGAGCAATAACCCTGGAAACACAGGTGAGAGACCAGACCCTCTATGTGAAAAGTGACACGTATGTGTTTAGGTGGTTCCTGCCTGTGTATGTGCCTCTCATGTGCTCTGTTTCAGAATGTAAGTTGTCCGGGAGCAGTGACATAAGAGTTCTGAACTGAGCTATGATCATCACCCCCCCACAAATAAATGATAAAATCAAACAAGGTTTATCTGAGAATTATCTGAGAATTATCTGTAGGATTTTGAAACAGTGAAAGCTTAGTAGAAACACTGCCAGTAGCTGACACAATGGCAGGTTTGGTGTAGTATTTACTTCCAGTCTCCTGCAGACTTCATTTTTCAGAGTTAGCTTGCAAGTCACTGAATTACCTACCAGTTTCTCGAAGAATTCATCTTTCTTTGCTAATCAGGACTTAGGAATGACAACCACAACTGACCCTGACTCAATACTAAATCTATTATAGCAAATGTGTTTCTTAAAACAACAGCCACAAAGAACGTACAACACGAAGAGTAAACCCTAATGTAAACTATGGGGTCAGGGTGATAATAATGTGTCAGTGTAAGCTAATTGATTGCAACTAGTGCACCACTCTGGTGGGGGAATGTTGATAATGACGGAGGCAATATATGTGTGGGGCAAGGGTATATGGGAAATCTCTGTATCTTCCTGTCACTATTGTTGTGAACCTAAAATTGTTCTAAAAAAGAAATTCTATTAAAAAACACAAACCACAAAACCAACAGCCAGTTTTCCTTAAAACATATCCCGCACCACAATGTGCTTAAAGCTTGCAACTTGAATATAGTCTCTGTGATTTTAAGACAAATGACTATAATGAATTACTCTAAGGTGGCTGAGTTATGGTTAGATATAAAAAAATTTTATTATCCCGGAATTAATGTAATTGTGAACTATTAAAAAGAAATATATAACTAATAAAACTCAGTTACCACCACTGCTATGGTACAGTTGCAAGTAAAAAATAAAATACTTTGACTCTAGCTTTAGCTTTATCATGGATATACTGATCAAACCTTCTTGAATATAAAGGACTATGTGGTCCTGGGTTACACTCACGGACACAGAAGACAGGTCTTTGAAATGCTTAGAACACTCAGACGCCAATATTATTAACTAGCCGAAGATTATAAATACTGTAGAGTGGGAAATTTGTTCAACAAATATTTCCTGATGGTTTACATGTCACTGAAGTAGGTACTACCCCTGTCCCTGTGGAACTAGCTATCTATCAAGCTAGAAAAGCAAAATGATAATGGGTATATACAACTGCAAACTGATATATGTGATCCAGACATGGAGGAAAACGTGGGCAATGAATCACTACAGGTAAATTTGGTTGATGAATCTTGAGTTGGTGAAGCCAAGAAGACAGGCTGTTCAGGCAAGGGCTAGGCCAAAGGAAAGTCCTGGAGCGAAGACGGAAGCAGAGAGTGGGGTGATAATTGGATATGAGGGTGCCATCAATCATTTGGTGGGGTCAGGAAGTGATTCCAATCCACAAGACAACATGGATCCGCTAAAGACAGGAGGACTGATTTCAATTAACACCAAAACCAGCCGAGTTGGAATCTACCTTGTGACGTGGCAAAATTCTACTGCAATCCTCTCGGTCATGTACCACTCACGTGGAAACATTCGGCCGAATTTCTCCTCATAGTCCACAAGCTGGCGTTTTATCCAGGCATAGCGTCTGTCAATTTTGTCCAGCCAGGCAACCTTAGAAAATTAGGGAACAAAGTCCACCCCAGTATTAGAAGTAGTATTGACAGTTTAAGGAAAGCAAAAACACGGAACCAAGAAAAACACAGCCAAACTCTCTACTTTTCATGGTTTTAAAGAATCTAGGCTACGTTTTTACTTGATCCAGAGATTTTTACCCTGAGGTTCATGAGTAGGCTTCAGAGGTCTATAAATTTTCTGAAACTGTATGCAAAGTTTTAGGCATAAGTGCCTTTTGCTGGAGAGAAGATCTGTAGCATTCATTAATTTCTCCAAAGGGCCAGTGACCCCAAAATGGTTAAGAACCACTGAACTATACAGTTAGCCCCTAGCATTCATGGTTCAACAATCAACTCTTTAAGACAGTAATAATAATAATAAAGTATAAATCAGGAGGCTTGAGAGCATTCAATTTTCAATACAATTCAAATGTCACATCTGATCTCATTTGGTCAATACTTACATCTTGGTTTTCTTGAAAAAGGACTAGATACTCTGACAGATGCTGTTTAATAAACTTTTTAATGATTTCCTGTTTGATTCGGGGGTCCAAAATATTAGCAATCAGACACGCATCTCGTAGGACATTGCTGGGTCCTCCTGGCCTCTGTTAAAACAAACATACACCAATTCAGAAGCCAGAAACCACCTCTGAATCTCCTGGCCTCTGACAGCTGCTACTTCCCGCTCCTCTCTTGAAGTTCTTACTGCTCCCACTCCCCTGACTCATTCTTCTGCCGTGGATGGATATTTTAGCTACTTGTTCCTTGATGAAAGAATCATTAAGCTAGAGTGCAGTAGCCAATATAAAAGCTACTCTGTCAATCAGCAATGAGACATTTTGAAAAACATGGCCTGTAATGATCACAGGAAACTTTGCTTTCCCAACACCAAAACTGAAACCGCCTTATGGAAGAGCCCAGAAGGCAGATGACCCCAGTCTCACTCCACCTGTGCCACTTTCCCTGATTCCAACCTCAGAATCCTATTCTTTTATTGACTGTGTCTCAGAACTATGATGCACTTGCAACAAAATTATTATTGTAATATAAGTAATTTTATTAGCCTTGAAAAATACATTTAATTACTGTTATTTTTTTTAAGGAGGTAGGAAGGGAATGCCATGAAGTAATCTTTCATTATAGAGCAGTAGTTTGGTTATTCTGACAAAAAGAATGACATATTTTCTCTTACTGGTATTCTTTCACAAAAAGGATCTTTAAGAGTTTAATGGCCTCCATAAAAATGTTTCCTTGCTTCAGCTATGACATGGAGAGAGGTAAGATTCCTATTCTTAAGGTGCTATATTTCTGCCAAACAATACGGTGGCATTTAAAACATAAAAGCAAGTTCCATCAGATTTGTTTTACAGATACTCAACCACTCAGACATGTAGCTAAGGTAAAATATTATACTATCAGCCCTTTGACCTAAAGAGAACAGTAGAAGGACATGGAGGGGCTGTATCTACACATCACAATGGGAAGACCTGTGTCATTTGGGAAGGCCTTTGTCATTACCACCGAAGGCAATTCAGTCTCGATGAACCTTTCTTTATGGTGCCTCACGGCATGAACGTGGCTGGCTGAGTGGACCACAGTAAAAAGAACACCTGGATCTACGCTTGGCTTGGCTACGCAGCCACGTAGCTTTGGCACAGTTACTGAACCTCATCTGAAAAATAATGGACTTTAAGTAGGTGAATAAGTAAGGTTCTTCCAAATCTTTGTGTTTTGTTTTATTTTTGTCAGTTCTGTCCAATTTACCCACCTGCCCTGAAATTTATGTTTCATAAGTGTCACCTAAGCTGCCTCGGAGCTCAGTTGTTAAAATGCTGACTAGCCCCACACTGAGGCTGTTATGTCATCCTCTGCTCAACTCCTGCTTGTGGGTAAAAGCGTTTGATCTTGTGGGTAAAACCCTAAGCTCATGGGTTCAGATTTTTTCATTTCAAAAGGACTTCATAGGTTACTTTGGATAATGAAAAATATATATATCGTGAGTTCCATTTGTGAAATAGAAGTAACAGCACAAGGTCTTTTAAAAAAGCAACAACCATTAAAAAGGACAAAAGAAAACTAAAAAAACCCCTCTGTTACCCAGTCAGAGAAAAGGGAAGCAAGTTGTTAAAGAAAACCATTTTAACTTCATCTGCCTGGTGGGATCTGGGATAAGGAGATACTGTAGGTCACAGTTACTTTCTTCTAAGTAATCAACCTGGGCTTCATCCACATCTTTCAGAAACTTCCTGAAACTGGGATGAATAGCAGATCCGACACTAACAAGAGTCTAGTGCTTATAATCTGTGAATTCCTTACAATCTCTATTCACAGAACGGCTTTCCAATATCCCCTTCCCAGAGTTACATCAAATGGATAAGGATATACAGTCCTCAAAGGAACAAGCTTTACAAATAAAATGTGTGATCACCAAAAGACAGGCACAATATGGACAGACATTAAAATCAGGAGCAGGTTTCCTATAGAAAGTAGCAATCTACAAAGCTGGGGCAGCTACCCCCACCTACTTCTTAAGTTTCTTTTAGGAAGCACACATAAAAATGATTAAGGTATTTCCAGTTATTGAATTATAACACAGATTCAGAAAATGTTCCTTGGCTCAGTAAATAAAAATATATCTCCCATCTCCGCCCACCATGGGCAGTGAGGAATGCTGCCTGCCCGGGTGTGCTTTGGCTCATATCTGCACTGAACAATTCTTTCTCTTGAAACAGCTCAAATAATAGAGGAAGAATAAAAGCTTCTGAATGCCCTTCCCTCCCTGACACATGCAAAGCATTAAGATGATGTCTGCTACAGTTTAAAGGTAGAGCTAAAGGCAGTTCACCAAGCACAGTGCCAGCCAACTGAGGCAAAGTTTGTTACATGAGAAGTGTAACCCATAGCTCACAAGCGAAATACTGCGGGCTTCCCAGACACAACACAAACAGCTATGCCACCAGTGAGAACGAAAGGGATTCATGCCAAAGAACAGGATTCTGATCGTTAAAAACGAGTCTCCGAACTGTGTCACTCCAAGTTACATAAGTCCGTGGACTGCCCTCCCAGTTGTCTTTTCACCAAACTGAAACCAATAAGTTATGTAACAATCCTAAAAAACGCTGCGGCTTGAAGATTTTTTTAAAAAAAACACATGAGAAAAAAGGAATTTACTGGGCAGACAAGACATTAGGTTTGACACACATTAAATTAAACCAAAACAAATCCTCATGCCTCACATTTTGATGCCGAAAGAACATAAATGAGGAATCAACATCGCTTTGGGATATTTGAAATCAAGAATGGTCTCATTATCCTGAACGTTTGGCAAATAGACTGATGGCTGCCAGCAAAGACTTTTGGGATGATAAATGGGAATAGTACCTGTAGTGAGTGTGAATTAGGTAAGAATGGTGGTAATATTAAAGACTGGAGAGAACAGGCAAAACTATACCTTGGTACCCTGGGAAGGAAATGCTTCTTCAAAATCAGCCAGGATTTGCTGTCCTAACTCAGTCTGGGCAGCCTTCACTCTGTAGAGAAAATAAAACATATCATTGTCTGGTAATTTTCAAATATTCATAAGTAATTATGCAAAGATCTATAGAAGTCAGAACTAGTGGAGTCTTTAGAGACAGGAAGGGGGAAGGTGGCTAGATGAGAGGTCACACACTAGTTAGTAGCAGGTTTATGACCAGAATCCAGGTTTATCCTATTTAATCACAACATGGGTTTTCTATATCCTTAGATTTTCTATATCCAAGTTCTTCTAGGCCAGCGGTTCTCAACCTGTGGGTCGCGACCCCTTTGGGGGTCAAACAACCCTTTCACAGGGGTCGCCTAAGACCATCGGGAAACACATATATAATTACATATTGTTTTTGTGATTAAACACTATGCTTTAATTATGTTCAATTTGTAACAATGAAGTTGGGGGTCACCACAACATGAGGAACTGTATTAAAGGGTCGCGGCATTAGGAAGGTTGAGAACCACTGTTCTAGGCCATGCCTCGCCTGTCATGAATGAGGTAGTAGTTATACCATAGGAAAATGCTATATAATAAGGCCCAAATCAGATATAAATCCATTTTGAATTACCAGTATAACTCCTCACCTACTCCTTGGAGTAAAGAATGGGAGGAGAGCTCCATACTATTTCAGAGTTGTTGTTTTTTCCAACCAAGATCAGGTTCATAAGTTTTAACAAATGAATAAAAAAAAGGTTTTTTAGAGCAGAAATAATAAAGACTGAAATGATAAAGATGAACTGCTAATTGAGAGTGAAGGCCATTGAATGAAGATTTACGTTTGCTCAGAAGATTGTGAATATCAGAACTGAGTGAGTTATGATGAAAATCAGTTAAAAATGGAGGGTCAGTACTTGACACAGTGGTTTGCATGTACAATAGTAGCACAAGTATTTTTCAGCTTAAATGAAAGGAGAAAGCAGCACAGCTGGGATGAGAAAGAAAGTTCGTGCAATGCTCATGTCCTCCACCAGCAGCCGGCCATGCCCCCGCCAGCCATGCCCCCGCCGGCCTCGGGAGCTGGGGTGGAGCAAGGCTCGGAGGCCGCTGCTAAACTGCCCTGAGCCCCAGGCAAATATTTTATCTTTGTTAAAAGCACCATAAAATAGTGTTCTTCCTTTCTTGGTCTCCACCCTGCTACTTTGGAATTAACTTTATGAAGTTTCTAGAAATAGTGAATAGCTCAAAACCACAATTTCTCTGGCCACTAGGCAGTGCCTAGCAACCTACTGAGATTTTTTTTTTAATGAGGGGATAGGCAGGACCCAAAACAGTCTGATTTTTCTGTGGCATAGTCATAATTATGCTTTTATTTTAAATACTTTACAGGATTTTTCCACTATCTTCAAAACCACCGATAGGTGGGTTTGCAGCCTTTTCAGTTAGTTTTCAAGGAGGCTAGAAATGACCGAGATAAGGCTATTCCTCGCATGGCTCCCCAAATCAGAATCAAGGCCATCCATCCAGAATTGCCCAAAGTCAATGGGAAATATTCCTGACAGGAAAGAGAACCAGCTTTTGTAAAACTGTACCTTGGAGGTCCTGTGACTCCGCGTAATGGGCTAGGCAGACAGACTCCCCTGGTGCCAGGTCACAAGACTGAGCTTCCAGAGCCTCAGGCCCCTCTCTTCCTACTCTCCTCTTGGCAATATACAGAGAGCACTATTCCCTCCTGAACCACAGGGACCGTTCCTGAGGGGGCACTCTGCCCATATCCTCAGGGCTCCTGAGCATCTCAGTGATACCGATGGGCCCAGCTCTGCCTCTGTCACCCCATCATCCCTTAACTCCATCTTCTTACTGGATTTAAAACTGGGGTTGTCTGAAAAGACAACCAGAGGCTTGGTACTTCCAGGGTACAGAAGAGAGGTGAAGTATCGGACTGTGATCTGTAGACTCCCTAGTCATCTTCAATCCATTTTTAGTCACCTCTTGAGATAGCCTAGACTCAGTTGTGCCACTAGTGCGCCAGGCATAATCATAAGGAAGCCATTTCCCCTACACAGGCTACAGCTAAGAACAGTTGTGAAATAAGAGGGTGGGGATGGAGGCCTGTACCAGATGCCTTTCAGCGTCCTCTCTAGTACTGACTCTTCCACAACACCCCTCTTGCAGCACTAGCTGCCGACAGCACCCATGTTTACAGGAGACTACAAGTCAGATGCATAACTAACGTTGGAGCCGAAGAATAAGCTTCCGCACATGAAGGTTTCCTAGCATAGTTTTTGAAGTGTCTTATCAGTGATTCCAATGAAAGAGCAACCATTTCCTTTACTGACATTAATGATGGTGTCTGTAAACCCAAACCACGATTCCATGTAGCATTAGGGCGAGATGTGAACAGCAGCCTTTACAATCAGTTGCCTAAACAGGATCCTAGGAGGGGATAATCACTTGAAAGAATCTATCTTCAACTTGACTCCTTTATTTATATTCCTTCCTCTTTTAACAATGAAAAGTAAATGCCTATGTAAAGAGAGGGAACAGCTGAGACTGTTAGCAGAGCACATAGAAGGGGTGAGCTACCAAGATTTCCTATTCACTCTTATGAAAACCAATCTACAACTGATAGAGAACAGGGCAGTAAATAGTAATTCCTCCTGGCATCCAAATAAGTTCTGCCTGGTTGAGTGTTGATCACTCTTAGGAAATAAAAGATTCACTGTACTGCCTAGAAAGAAAGGTCAACCAACTGGCTCCTAGCATCCTCCACGTCACGTGACTACGGGTTGTTTAAAGGTGCCCTTTCCTAAATGTGTTATCAGTTTTCATAAAGGGTGGAAGCACAGGGGCAGCAAATTAGGAAAATTATTTAGATATTTGTAGATAAAGTAACCCTGATGCTTCCATTATCTTGTGAATGACAGTCCCAACGAAAATACAAAGGTTCACAATAAACTGACCTCCCAAATACGTGGTGTGTCCTGGACAGAATGGTTAATTAGCCACATTAGTCTGAGCTGCTCTATTTCCAAACAGACAGACTCTACAATCTCAACCCAGAATCTTAGAGTGACTCAGTTGGATGCTTTTGAGGACATCAAGTACAACCCCTATACTTTTGAAACCCTTACTCTTTCGCAACCTTACTCTTTCGCAACTTACACTTTTGAAACTAAAGTTCTTTCAGCAGGAACCCTTGTCAAGTACACACAGCTAGGCAGGCCTTTCCATTCTCTACTTTAGTTTTTTCATCACTACATCATGTGATCGCACTTTGCCAGGTATCTCTCACATGTAAGAGATTAGAAATAGCCCTGAAAAATATTTTTAGTTCAAGGGTTTCAAGAGAATACAAGACTCTTCCATTCTTTCTCAGGAAATATTGACTGATTACTAGAAACATTTGCTTTCATGGATATTCTTAAGCCAGGAGGATTTGTAATATGAAGATGATATTTTTTAAAAAATCTTTCCTTCAATGTTATATTAGTGTTTAAGCATTTTCCAGAGGGGAAGTTGGAAAAAAATAACTATATTCAAATCAAGATCCATGAATTTAATATTTCAAATGCACAGGCAAAGACTTCAGAATACAACCTTTTATATGATTTCTACAATTTATAGACAGCAAGCTATTAAATTAGAGAAGCTGAAGCAATGCATAGGGCATAACTTGCCTTCTCCCCTCCCCCCAAACAAATAGCTACTTCTATCATTTCCAGATGGTTCTACCATTGCTATGTAAACATCAGAGAGGAAAATCACCAGAAATGATGCTAAAAATAAGAAGTCTGGACTTTCCTCAAACTTTTAATACCTCTTGAAAAACAATTGTAGTCAAGCACTGAAAACAAGGTTTTTTCCTCTTGTGTTATTTTTAGTGTTACTTAATAGTACATGCTCTATATTAATCTACCATTTTTGCAAATAGAGGTTTTCCATTAAAAGAAAAGTAAATCCTCCTGAGTTTGCAGCAACCCTACATGATAATGAGTGTTTGCAGCACTGAAATATATTGATGAAGTGTTAGATTTTCTCTTTATAAGGGGAATGTCATTACAACAGTGATCACAACGTTCTTCAAATTTATAAAACCACCTTTCAAAAAAATGTTAGAAAGCAAAGAGTCCTAAAAGAGCACATTTGCTTGTATGACTCTAAGTTGTTTTTTTATAAATAAAATTCAGTTCTGCTCCATTCCTGCCATTAACTATGCTCATCACAAACAACCAACCAGTTGGTAACCAACCCCTCAACACATCTCCTTGACCTCATGGCCATTATTTTGGTACAGTCCTTATCTTCTCTAGCCTAGAACATAGTCTAAACCCCAGGAAGACCAGTGTCATGTACCTATAATCCACCAGACTTCCATAAAATACAAATGAGATCATGCCCCTCCTGCTCAAAATCTTTCATTGCCCACCAAGTAAAGAAAAAGTTCTCTAGCAAGGCATATGAACTCTGACCTTGCCTACCTATGCAGGCTTTCACTATCATCTCCCAAAGTGACAGGATGCGCTCTCTCTCTTCTATTCTCCCACTCTCCTTTTTATCTTGATGGTAAGATCCTTTCCATTCTTTTAAAATCAGATTAAAATTGAATTCTTCTATAACCCCTACCCTTAGCCCCTGAAGGTTCATTCTATCAATTCCTCCTCTAAGATCCTGCCATGCCCTGTATAGCAAATACCAGTTTTGTTATATCTGTGCTCTGCTGAAATTTTATATTAGTGTTTCTCTTCTCTACACAAAGATGAACTCCTCGAGTAGAGAGTGTATATTGCTTATCTTGTGCCTGTGGTACTCCAGCACAGGGTCTAGGATATAGAAGGTGCACAGTAAATATCTATTAGGTAAGTGAAGGGAAGAATAAATGAATGGGAAAAACAGATCAACTCCGGATCATTATGAGGATAGGGGGAGGAGTTACTGCCTCCTTCCCTTCACCCCCATCCACTGAGAGCAAGTCTGCCTTCTCCATTCAAGCTTCCTTCCTTTTCGCAGCTCATAAAGCCCTATTTGCCCACTCTCTTAGCTGCTTTCCATCCCCAGTGTGGCATGGCGACCAGCCATCTCTAAGTGTGAAGGGGTTAGGAAGGATGAGGGGAAGGGTGGTGACTTCCCTAGTCTCTGCCAAGCTCTGTTCTGACATTCCTTTGTAGTTCTTTGGCATTTCCATTGCAAGAGGGTACACTGAGTGCATGTTGCCATCTCCCCTTCCTGCCCCAGAGCAGCAGAAATAATAAAAAGATTTTAATAAAAATCCAGAACCATACAAAAAAAGATGTGGTAAACTAGAAACTCTAAGTCGTGTGTGGTTTGTTACAAGGAAAGAGACAACTGGGAGAGTTCCTCTCACTAATACAGACAACTGAGAGTTGTTGAGATATACACCTTGCCAGCTGCCACTGCAATGATGGCAGGCCGGCAACTATGTGACATGGGCAGCTTTGGAAGACATGGTCAGGAGCTGGTAAGGGTACGGTGGATGGGAAGTCTGCATCACAGAGTTAAATCAGATGCCATCTAAGGTTCCTTCTTATAATAGGATTGTATAAGGAACATACGGAGCGAAGTGCTCCAGCACTTCCCAGCACCATCTTTTCTTAAACGGGAAGATCATTTTCTCTGATGACACAGTACCTTTCGGAAAGCTGCCGGATCTGTGGAATTCCCATGTACTTGTGGAAGTGCTCCAGAACGTTCATCACACCCTGAAGAAGATTAGCAACTTCTCCATACTGCCTCCGCCTGGTCATGGCTCTGCAAGGAAGTAAGAAGTTGAGAACTCTAGAAAACCACTAAGGACACAAGAAACAGATGTGGAACAATCTACTCTGAGCTCTAAAACAGACATCACTGGAGCAGAGGGCGAGAGTGGGCTAGAGGGCGTTGAAGGGGGGTGGGGGGGTGGAACGGGGACATATGTAATATTTTCAACAATAAAGACTAAAAAACACACAAATTATATAAATCCAAAAAATAAAACAGAAATCAACTCGATTTAGTAAGTATTTGCTGAGCACTAAAAAAGTATGGTGCTATGCAGTGGGGGGAGACGTCTAAATCCTCAAGGCAACAACATTTAGTCAGGGAGAGGGCCAAATACACAGCTAACGAATACCAGATAGGATGAACTGAGTTCTAAACAGAAACACTAGGTATGTGCTATGGGAGGTACAAAAGAATGTGTGAGTAATGGGTTCTCATTGTGTGGGGAAAGGGAAATCTGGGAAGACTATGAATTTTGGGTTTGAGTTGGGTTATGGGATTAGCAGGCTTTTGACAGAGAACATGGGTAAGGATGTTATTATCTGAGGGTTACAGTTTAGGGGCAAACCAAACACATCTTCCCAGGATACAACAAAGGGCATTTAGGTTCATTTACATGTAAACTCAGATCTGTACGTTTTAAGCCAATGTTAAGCAACTCTGTTTCCCTATTGCAAAGGTTAATGAAGCATAAAAGAGGATGCTGATAAAATCAAGTTACACATAGCAAGGAAGGACAAACCATTAGATCTAAATCTTTCATTAGGGTTGGGCTTTTAAATTAAAAGTATATTTTACGACTTCCCTTAAGAGGCATTTACAAAGACAGGATCAAGTTCAAGCTAAGATGTGATGCTGCTGCCGGGTCAGATAGTTGTGCAAAACTAAGCATCTGGGGGAAGGGACAAGGAAATTGCTCTTCCAGTCTGCCACTGGCCTCTGACCTCTCTGATCACTACTTGCAAGAGAATGGACCAGGGTTCACTGAAACTCATGCAACATCTGGGAGAGATCAAGAAGGAGCCAGTCCCCCGCCCCTAACTTTGGATACTGCATCTAAATTTACGTGAAGATGCTCTTTCTCTGTCCACACATGAGATTACACTGAGGCTGGGGCAGGGGGAATTCAGCCTGAGATAGACCACAGAGGAGAACTGGCACGTCAGAATCTTGCTAATGAAGGAGGCCTTGACACTGCTTCTTTGTGGTAAATAACCAGCTCTTCCTTTTATTTTTATTTTTTCTAAATATATTTTATTGATTTTTTTAAAGAGAGGAAGGGAGAGGGATAGAGAGTTAGAAACATTGATGAGAGAGAAACATCCATCAGCTGCCTCCTGCACACCCCCTATTGGGGATGTGACCGCAACCAAGGTACATGCCCTTGACTGGAATCGAACCTGGGACCCTTCAGTCCGCAGGCTGACGCTCTATCCACTGAGCCAAACCGGGTAGGGCCAGCTCTTTCTTTTAATACTATTTCTAATGTCCTCATGCATCATTCCCTATAGTTCCTCTATAAACCAAACAGGAAGCTACTGTATTTGAAAAACGGGGTTGAATGATAAATCAAAGATATGTTTCTATATGATACATTCAATGACAGTGTGACTCAGACCATCACAAGCAGGAAAACTTGCCAAGGTTAAGGCTATAGGGAGGGACAATGGCCCCGAATCACCTTGTGGGCTTCAATGATAGAGATCTACCAGATCTACCTGTCAGGTTGTTTGTATTCTTGGAGTCATTTCTCCACATGCTTCCAGGGCCCATTCAGATTCATTTGCATCTCATTTCAAAGTGTCAGGCTGTGCCCTGGCTGGTTTTGCTTAGTGTTTAGAGCGTCAGTCTGCACACCAAAGGGTTGCAGATTTGAGTCCCGATCCAGGGCACATACCTGAGTTGCAGGTTCAATCCCTGGCCCCAGTGGGGTCAAGTTCAGGAGGCAACTAATCCACGTGTTTCTCGCACATTAATGTTTCTCTCTCCCTATCCCTCCCCCCCTCCCTTCCACACTCTCTGAAAATCAATGGGAAAATATCCTCGGGTGAGGATTAACAACAGCAAAAAGTGTCAGGTTGTTTGTTGGGTTTTGAACACCAGAGGGCAGAAAGTAAATCTGGTGACTGAACATCTGAGCCAGATTTGCAGAAAGTGGGGCAGGATGGTGAGACTTTACTGGCTGAGAAGTAAATGAACCCTTTCCTCTATGTGACACATTCATTTCATGTGGACCGAAAAGAGAAAGTTGACACTGCTTACTCGAGGGAATCGACGCCGCCTGCCAACATGTGCAGGTGGTTCAGCGTTGTGATTGAGGTGGTCAGGTGGCGTTTGGCATGATCTAACTGCTTAATATCACGGGTGATTTCTTTAACCTAAATATGGAAAACCACAGGAGAAAAAGGAAGAAGGTAAGAGCGATGTAAACCCACCCGCAAGGAGCTCCACAAGGAAATAATGCAAATGAAGGAAGAAAAAAACTCAGGTTATACCCGAAACTAATACAAAATAACATTGACTATAAACTGTAATTAAAAAATAAAATGTTTTTAAAAAAGTCTCAGGTTAGCCCTTGGAGAAAACACAGGCTTTTTCACAACAGATAATCAAATTCATTCCCAATCAGCCCATTTAAATTTAATTTGGCATTTCTTCAACTGACTTTACCCGGGGTTATAAAATCCTCATTTGTGAGAATGAAATGAACTTTATTTTTCACCCCCAATGGAGTCTACCGGGCCCAGAAGCCAAGTACAGTGCATGTACTATTCTGACCTTTTTCTGACCTTAAACAAGGTCAGAAAAGTATGCCTTCTGCCGCTGGGACTACTAGATTCAGAATAAAAATGGATGGTATTAGTTGGCTAATTCTACTGAGATGGTCTTCACTCATGGAACTAGGGTTTACTGTCTTCAGAAAAGAAAGAATTCCTCTCAAATTTGAAGATTTTTAAGAATGAAAACCCCATAACATAAGCTTAGCATGTAATGTCACAAGAGAAGAGACATAGTCTTCAGTGAGTGAGAAGGAAATTGGAGGAGTAAAATTCCAAGTGTTGATCTGCCAGGTCCAAGAGGAAGAAGTGCTGTATCTGGGAACACAAGTATATTTTAGTCACTAGAAAAGTACACTGGGTAGTGAAGTGGGGACAATTTTCCAACTTTATCAACACCCAGGTAAAATCTTCCACTAACTGCCTGAGTTCATGTTGACCAAGAAGCTTCTGAAGAGCAACTTGCTTTCCCAGGTTCTCTGATACCTGGAAGGGAGGGAGTGCCCCAATACCAGGCACACATATCCTGGTTACTGGAAAGATATACCTCCCATTAAAAGTGAAAAACCTGGGCCCTGGCTGGTGGCTTAGTTGGTTGGAGCATTGTCCTATACACTGAAAGGCTATGGGTTCGATTCCCAGTCCAGGCACATACCTGGGTTGCAGGCTCGATCCCCGGTCGGGGTGCGTACAGGGAGTAACCAACTGCTCTCTTTCCCTCTCTCTCTCTCCCCTCCCCCGCCCCCTCAAATCAGTTTAAAAAACACACTATGTCCTTAGGTGAGGATTAAAAATTTTTTTAAATAAAAAAAGTGAAAAACCTGGTAGTGAGTTAAGTTCATGTGACCTGATTTTCTAATTGGATCACCCTGCATGACCTCATAAAGATTATGACCTGCATAGCTCAGTTTCACAATCACAAACTTGCAAGGTTTTTTGTAACCAAAAAGATTAGGGGAAAAAATGATAGTAATAATGGTTTCCATTCATTGAGCAACTAACACAAGTCTAAGACCATCTCAGCGCTCTTCATACATTCAATTCTTGTAACGCTTTGAGCGAGATGTTGTTATTCTTATTTATAGTTGAAAAAACTGGAATTCAGAGACATTACATTATGTAGTCAGAATCTGAGCCCAGGAGTTGGCATTTCACAGCACTTCCCACAGAGTACGAGTGGGTGAGGCTGGATTCTTGGTCAGCAGCGGGGCCTTCAGAGTACATCACCGGAGGACAGATGTGTAGAGGGAGAACTTAATCAAAACCATAAGCATGTATCATGGGCAGGCTACATCCACCTCCCAGATCCAGGAACCATTTTCATGTGATACCAAGTGACATATCGTATATCTTAATAATGGCTTCCATTCATTGAGCAACTAACACAAGCCTAGTACTATGCGTGATATAAAATACGTGATATAAACAAGTGCTAGAGAAAGGAATCCAAAATGACTAGAAAACTATTTAAACACAGGGCTGCAAATATCGGGCGGCAGGGAATGAGTCACTCCACCGCTAGCTCCTCCTCCTGAACTGATCTAGAGTGTACTCAGAGGGCTTGTTTTAGAGATGTGGGTGCTGTGGTTGGCATCAAATGGGAGTAAAAGCCCAATAACAAGTATAAGTGGATGAGATGCAAACTTCCTCTCCTGGAGCAAAAAAATTAGGAAGAAACCTAAACTCACCATTTGCTCTGATTTTTCTGCTTTGTCTTTGATATCTTTGATTTTGCCGAAGAGTTGCTGAATCGCTTTCTGGGCCTCTTCAAGTGCCTAGAATAAGAGAAATAGATGAAAAACTAGACGGCACCAGTCCCTACACTGTAATCAAGTCCAGCTTCAGAAGAAAATTAATAAAGTTCTCTTGATTCATTGCACTTATGCTGACAATTTTACTGGACCAAAGTAGTAGAGACAGAGTCCAGCATTTGGATACAGGCAAATACTCGGGATTCTTGCCAATATACATCATAAAGTTTTAATTTAAAAACGAAACTATTTCCCTCTATCCCAGCGATTACTACACATATTGATGACAACAAATAAACAGGACATGCATATCTGTGTGTGCATGCGTGCGTGTGTGTGTCTGTGCATGTGCGTGCATGCATGCGCACATATGCAGTAACCTTCAAAACCTGTAGAGAGACAGAGATGACTGATGGGGGTAGGGGAAGCTCTGAAATTTGGAACTTCCAGATGACTGTGCCTTCAAAAACATCACAACTATCCATGGGAACTCCAGACTGCGGCAAACCTTAAAGACATTATAATACCCCACTTGGAAATCAAAGAAATGAAGTTAGAAAGGGACGCTTAAAGCTACAGGTGAGCCAAATGTTTCCCCTGAAATAAGAACCTACAAAGACGAATGCCACACATTAAAAATATTACAACCCACAGTAGCTTCTGTGAGGAGGGGAAGCAATATTCAGGGATTTGGGAGGGTGCAAAAGCCACACATGTGCAGAACATGTGTATTTATAAAAGATGCAGCAAAGGACCCATGCTTCATTTCATCAAAAGCACTTTATTTAGTTTGGATTTAAGAGTGGCCTGTCCTAATTGGGTCTCACTAGCCCTTTATAAATGTAATGACAGGGCTAATGTAACCCTAGAGCTGTGTGTGGCCATCTTTGCCGACAGAGAAAAACAGACAGCCTTCGTGGGAAGGACACCCTCACAGAGGGAAGAGGAAAACAAAGCCGAGTTGGAGAAAGACAAAAGGCAGACAGAATTATCTGAACCTCTGCATCCAGCTGTACCCAATGGGAGAGCTACCTCTACACTATGAATTCATACATATTCTTTTTTGCTTAAAAAAAAATCCCCAAAAAGCAAACTTAAGTTGTCTTCCTCTGCAGGAAATATTTTCCTTGTTAGAGGGATCACATCTCCCTTTCCTTCCCAGGTTTCCTGAGCTGTCCGCTTCTTCTCATATTGGGAAGCCTTTTTCATCTTGAGCTCCCTGCCCTGCGTGCAGCTCACATCCAAACATGGCTTTCTTTTGATCTTCTTCCACCTCCTCTGGGGTTTGAGGAGGTTTCACATGTGGGGACGAGGATGCTAAGCTAGTGCATGTGACTATGCTATGGCTTCCGCAGTGAACGTCCAGGAGCTCCTCTGAGAAAGCCCTTAGCCCATTTGTTGCCAAGTCCGAGGTCACGCTTCCAGCAGCTGCTCCACCACCTCCCTGGGCAGTGTGTGTTTGCTCTGCTGGATCAACTTACTTACGTCTACAGAGGTTTGTGAGCAAAGGAGCTTTCTACCTGTCATTTCTGCTACCTGGACACAGGTATTTTCATCATTGGAAAGTTTGGTCCTGGAGCTGGAAAGGGGGCAATGGAATGGAATTGGGTCACTCTAGGTGGCCCCTCTCCATCCCATCCCACCCGAAAAGGACGCCTCACTCAGCAACTGTTTCCACTCAGCTTCCTACCATCCTGTCTTTCTGATTCCAGGACTTGGCATCCCTGAAACAGCTGTGGTGTCGCCCTGACCAGGTGGCTCAGCTGACTGGAGCATCATCCCACGCACCAAAAGGTTTGGGTTCGATTCCCAGTCAGGGCATACACCTAGGTTTCAGGTTTGATCCCCAGTTGGGGCGAGTATGGGAGGCAACTGATTCATGTTTCTCTCTCACATCAATGTTTCTCTCTCTCTCTCCCTTCCTCTCTCTCTAAAAATCAAGAAAAACATATCCTCAGGTAAGAATTAAAAAAAAAAAAAAAAAAAAGAAACAGCTGTGGTGTCATGAGACAACCCTCCATTTTTCAGTCAGAAGGCAGGAATATGAGGCCTCTCTCCACTGTCACATACTAGCTGTATATCTCGGGCATCAATTTCCTTGTCTGAAAAATGGTGATGATGGAACTTCCAGGGTTATTGGGAAAATTTAATGGCATAAGAAGTGTAAAAAGCTGCATGAATATTTTATTTATTTCCAGAACTTATGACCAACCTGAGCAAATGCATGTATGCATATATTTATAGGTAAATACACACATATATATGTAATGTTCTCCTCTGACGACACTTTTCTCTCTCACACACAACCTCTAGGCCCGCCTACTAGCTGACCCGTCTTAGTTTTAGCCCCTCCCTGAGTGAATCCATGCCCACTCATTCCACCTCCCTACCCCTTCTCAACAGCACTAATCATCAAGGAAATGCAAATCAAAACCACAATACATATCACCTCACACCTGTCAGATTGGCTATTATCAAAAAGACAACAAATAGTAAGTGCTAGTAGTGATGTGGAGAAAAGGGAACCCTAGTGCACTGTTAGTGGGATTGTAAATTGATGCAGCCACTATAGAAAATAGTGTGGAGATTCTTTAAAATAAAAAATAGAACTACCATATGACCCAGTAATTCCACTTCTGGGTATCTATGCAAAGGAAACAAAAACACTACTTTGAAAAGATATATACACCTCTATGTTCACTGTAGCATTATTTACAATAATCACGATATGGAAGCAACCTAAGTGTCCACCAATAGATGAATGAATAAAGAAAGTGTGGTACAGCCCTAGCTGGTTTGGCTTAGTGGATAGAACATTGGCCTGCGGACCGAAGAGTCTCAGGTTTGATTCCGGTCAAGGGCACGTACCTCGGTTGCAGACACCTTCTCAGCCCGGGCCCTAGTCAGGGCCCGTGCAGGAGGCAACCAATTGATGTGTTTCTCTGACATTGATATTTCTCTCTGTCTTTCCCTCTCGCCTCAACTATCTCTAAAAATTAATGGAAAAATATCCTCGGATGGGGATTAAAAAAAAAAAGTGTGGTACATTTATACAATGAAATATTATTCAGCCATAACAAAGAATGAAATCTTGCCATTTGCGACAACATGGATGGACCTAGAGGGTATTATACCAAGTGAAATAAGTCAGACAAATACTATATATTTTCAGTTATATGCAGAATCTAAAAAACAAAATAAACATACAGAACAAAACCAAAATAGGCTCATAGAAACAGAACTGATGGTTGCCATAGGGGAAGAAGGGTATGGTTGAAGAAGATTAAGAAGTACAAACTGCCAGTTATAAAATAAGTCATGATGGAGCAACCAAGATGGCGGCATAGGTAAATACCTGACCTGTTGCTGCGTACAATCACATTAAAACTACAGCTAAAAGACAAAACGAACATCATCCAGAACCACGGGAAGGCTGGCTGAGTGGAAATTCTACAACTAGAAGGAAAGACAAAAGCACATTGAGTCTGGTAGGAGGTGCAGAGGTGCAGAGGTGTGGAAGTATAGAGGTACGGAGGCACGTGCGAAAGGGGCTGGCAGCTGGGTATGCTGTTGTCTTTTCAAACGGGAGGAAGATACAAGCTCCCGACTGCTCTGTACTCCAGCTCTGGGCGAGAATTTGGGGACCCAGACTCATACGAAGAGAAACTGGACTGTCTGGCATCGGGCCGAAAGGTGAGGGCGGCTTTCTTGCAGAGGTGCTTGCAGCGTTCATTGTTCCTGCATAGGGCCGCGGGACACAGACCCCAGGACCTCTCAGAGGCAAAGGAGACTGGCAGCCATTGAGGTTTGCTCCGTCCAGGTGATTCCCTGAGACCCCGCCCCACCCAATTTACAATCCCACCCAAGCTGTGCACAGAGGCTTTTGCATAGAATGGCCTGGCCTTTCTCCCCCTAAAAACCTGTCAAACTGTAGCTGGGTCAGAGAACCCCAGAGCTTCCAAAAGAAGGCCTAAGGCTCATCAGCAGCCTGCATTACTTCACAGCTGCGCCTCAACTGGGTACCTCCAAACCCCAAACAAATAGGAGGAATCTGCAGATCTCTCTGTAGCTCCTGCTGTGTGGCCTCAGGCAGTGGCTGACTTTGCACCTCTTTGGAGATCCAAGAGCCAGTCTACCCAGTGGTCAGAGTGAGACCATGCAGATTACAACTCTTCACATCCATAAGAGACACACTCAGGGCAGACTCAGTGAGCGCCAAAGCCCCACTGAAGCAAGTCCTGCCCCATAAGGGTGTCTCCAGCAGAGAAGTTCTCCCACCGTAGACACAACTGGTCCTCACAGCCAGTTGATCTGGAGGTCAATTCCTATCAGTGATACCAACAGCAATCAAGGCTTAACTACAACAAGACTGTGCACACAGCCCATAAAAGGGTTTACCAAGAGTGTCCACCTCAGGGAATTAGGGAGGCTGAGCCACTGGGCCCTATAGGACACCTAGCACACAAAGCCACTCTACCAACACAGGGAAGCATAAAAAATGTGGAGACAAAGAAACAGGTCACAAATGAAAGAAATGGAGGAAAGCAAATGACTGGATATAGAGTTCAAAACCACGGTTATAAGGTTACTCAAGAATCTTCTAGAAACCTCTGAGAAATATAGCGAGAACCTTAAGGATATAAAAAAGGACCAATTAGAAATTAAGCATACATTGACTGAAATAAAGAATAATATACAGAGACCCAACAGCAGACAAGAGGATCCCAAGAATCAAGTCAAAGATTTGAAATACGAAGAAGCAAAAAACAAACACCCAACCAGAAAAGCAAAAGGAAAAAAGAATCCAAAAATATGAAGATAGTGTAAGGAGCCTCTAGGACAACTTCTAACGTACCAACATCTGAATTATAGGGGTGCCAGAAGAAGAGAGCAAGATATTGAAAACCTATTTGAAGAAATAATGACAGAAAACTTCCCCTACCTGGTGAAAGAAATAGACTTACAAGTCCAGGAAGCGCAGAGAATCCCAAACAAAAGGAATCCAAAGAGGACCACACCAAGAC